GCGCTCGACGCGCTGCCCAGCGGCGCCACGCTGGAGAAGAGCCTGCGGGGAGGAAGGCGACACGCCGCGGTCACGGGCGGCACGCGGGGCTCGCGCGCGGGGGCCACGCGACGGGAGGCGGCGGCGCGCGGAGAGGCGCGGGGGGCCCTGGCGATACCGATACCCCTTCCCTATCCCTACCCCTATCCCTGCTCCTAACTCTAGCCCTATCCTCATTCCTACTCCTACCTCCATCGTTAGACCTCACCTTGCTCTTAGCCCTATCCCCATCCCCAACTCTATTTTTAACCCTATCCTTAACCCGACCCCCATCCTTATCCCTAATCCCATTCTTATCTCTACCCCTATCCTTATCCCTAAGCGTATCTTTACCCCCTACCCTCATCCTTAACCCTATCCCTAACCCTATCCTTATCTCTACCCCTATTCTTGTCCCTACCGCTATTCTTGTCCCTGTGCCTACCCTGATGCTTACGCTGCTATCTCTGTCCTTATCCCAACGTGTATTGTCCATACCTCTACCACCAATCCCTACCCCCATTCCTACCCCTATCCTTCTCCCTATCTCTATCCCTATACCCCTGCCCTTACCCCTACACTCATGCTTCTCCCTGACCCCTGTTGTTATCCCTCTACCCTGTCCTCCTCCTGACTGTTGTCCCTGCCTCTGTCTCTATCCTGCACCCCTATCCCTATGCCCCTATCCTGACCCGCACACCCATCCTTGCCCCCATCACTATTTTCTCCATATCTATCGTTAAAAACGGTGCTCGCCACCTGCCCGGCTACGGATGCGACGCTCCACTGTCCATGGCCGGGGGGCTCCCCCCGGCGCCCCCTGCGCTCTTTGCCCGTGGGAACGGCTTCTCTTTCTGAGCGCCCGAGTCCCCGCGTGGGACGGCCCCGGCCTGGCCCTGCCAGATAGGCTCCCCCCACGGAGGGCAAAGCAGGCGCCACGCTCCACGCGGGACCTCACAGCGCGGGATCGCCCCCCCCGCCCACGCACACGTCTCACGCCTGCTCTAAGCCCGAGAGGAGGCCGCGGCTCTGCGCGGACCTCGCGGCCCACACAGCCCCGTCCCGCACCCACGGGGGGCCGCCGGACTCGTGGGGTAGGGGGGAGGCGCCCAATCGGAGGCCGGGCGCGGGAGCACGTGCCCCACGCGGCGCCCCGCGAGGCGCTCGGAGCTCGAGGGCGGGCCCGAGCCACGCGGGACGGG